CTTTTGGAGGGGTTTGTATTTTCCCTCCTCCAAGAGATTTGAAGGGAAAATCTTAATCCCTCCCCTTACTTAAAATCGAACCAAACAAGGGAAAACTAAAAATTTCCCTCTCCTCCCTTCCCCTCCCCTCCGTTTCCTCCGAACCAAACAAAGCCTAAGGATGTGTTTGGTTCAATGCTGGGGAAGGGAGTGGACAAATTTTAATGGAGAGAAAGGGATGTGAGGGGAAAGGAGGTGATGTAAAATACAGTGTAATGCTTTCCTACCCACAGTGGATACATGTTAATATGTCCACTATTTATGTGGCATGCACACATTGGTGATGTATTTTTTTAATAAATTAATATCACCAATGTGTGCATGCCACATAAAAGGTGGGCATATTAACATGTGTCCACCGTGAGTAGGGGAACATTATCTATGTAAAATAATTTTACTTGGTTGGGAGGGATTATTTAAGAAGGGATAGGAGGAAAAATGGTGAACTTTGGTTAAAATCAATGTTCTGAAAAGCGGACCGAACCAATGAAGCTACTGGTTCAATGGTTCACAGGTCGGAACAGTGGTCGAACCAGTTTAACTAATATATAATTTATTTATTCATTTTATATGTATAAAATATAATTATATATATTTTTATCATTAATTTTATAGCATATAATGACATTTTTTTAAATAAGAGCTGATAAATCAATATGTTAAGTATAGTTTACCATAAGCAATACTAATTTAAGTTAATTAAAACAAAAGATTAATAATTCAATATCTAAAACAAGTCAATCCAAATTACAAATACAAACTACAACTCATCAAACATCAAAATACGTTCAATCCAAGAATTTTGATTTCAAAATTTTGGAGGAGTCGACGACACGACTCAGTCTTTTCTCTTTTGTTTGATTTTTTATTTTTTTTTTTAAATTCATTAAGATATTTCTTTAATATTGGGCTTGCAAAGAAAAATAAAAAATATGAAGATAGTTAATAAGTTGGAACGTTGGATTGGGCAAACAAATTTACGGGCCTAACACTAACAGTAACAGCAAACGCAAGAATTTGATTTCAATATTAAAAATTCAGAACCGCTGAACCGGCCGAACCGGTACCGGTTCACCGGTTCTACACCAGTTCGGACGGTTCGATGCCGGTTCTTACTCCCAGCGGTTCAAACTCTCAAACCGGACCGGTACCATGACCGGTTCCCGGTCCAACCTGTCGAACCGGCTGGGCCGCTCCGGTTTTGACAACATTGGTTAAAATATTAAAGGAAGAGAAAATAAAATAAATGACAAATTTATCATTGATTAATAAAGTAAGGTAAAAAATTAAAACAATTGAAAGTAGGGACAAAATGGTCATTTTACATCATATTAAAACACTTCCCCTCCAAATTCCTCCAATTTTGGAGGGGAGAAAAAGTGAAGAAGGGAGGGAACTTTACTTAAATTTTTTTCTCTCTCTTCCCTCTGCTAATTTTGCAACCAAATAAGTGAATTAAATTTCTCCATTCCTTCCCCACCCCTCCCCTCTAAATCCCTCAAACCAAACACTACCTAAGGACCATTTGTTAGGCATGATAGGACAAGATTACCACGCTAATCCCGGGTTTGTCCAGCGTTCAGTAGCAATGTCTCTGGCCCGCTAGACTAGATTCGGCCGGGAATGAAAATACATTTAGTCTAGCATATTCAAGATCTCGTGTGGAGGGTGTGATTCTGTTCATCCCAATAGTACAAACATGCGAAAATGAAAAATTAGCCCCAAAATCTTCTTCTTCTTTTGTTTTTTAACCAAATTAACTTTTATGTGCAAGAAATTAACAAAATAACCATTTAGCCCTAGAAATGAAAACGTCGGATTTCACAATCCATTAACCAATGGAAGAGTTGTTGAGCTCTTTCACACCAATTCTTAATACATAACTGAGTAGGAGGACGACAACGACGGGACTGGAGTTGATGCAGGCGGCGGCTAGAAGCACTTGCACTTGTTTTTGGTTCAGAACAGGTTGTTCAAGATTGAGCTCGGAGGAGGCAGTAGAGGCAGCGATGGTGGAGACAGATGATATTCTCAGTTTTTCAAGTCACCAGCCTTGTTGTTTGGGTTATTCTCATCTTTCATACTGATTAAAAAATAACATCATCTTACTGTTTGGGTCTTTCTTATGATGTTTTATTCAATTTGGTCAGGGGCAGATCCACATGCAAGCGAGCCTAGACAATTGCCTAGACTTAATTTTTTGTGCTAACATAGTTAACATGTGTTAAAAAAAATTTAAATTCCGTAAAAATATAAATACAAATTATTGTTTTAAAATTTTAAATAATTCTTACCAAATATTATTATTATTGTTTTTATTTAAACTGATTCACAGTCAGATTCGATGGTATTATGTGATAACATTTTTAGTACTTATACCATATAATAAGCTTGATAGGTAAATTTATTGTTTTTCAATTATAATTAATAAATATTTAAATTTTTATTGATAGAGATCAAATATATATAATTAACATATAAAATATGAATGTCAAATTTTATATTGCCGAAATATGACTAATTTAAGTTATCATATATATAAAAAGAAAATATTTATAAATGTTATTGAGTTTTAAAATATATTTACAATTGAAGTTACCCAAGCGTTTAAATTTGGAAGTTCTCGATAAAGATCCATATTTGTATGGACTATATTATGAATCCTTAGGAATTACAAAATCTTGGAAATTGACAATGAAAATTTATTTATCTAAAAGAAGATAATCTATAAGAAAATTTTTATAAAATAACAATAACAAAAAATGATGACATTTAGGCTTTTCTTAAATTAAAAAATTATATTTTAAAATGACTTGCTTAGTTCTTATTACAAAAAAATGAAGGAAAAAATGGATTGTAAAACATTTTTGGTATATTTCTTAATAATAATAAAAGCGCAAAATAAAATAACCAGGCCTCATTCTCAATTTTATTTTTTAGCATCAAGTCAAACACAAATTAAATAAGGAACTACTCAACACTCGATTATTTCAACAATTTGTTTAATTGTTAATATAAGTACTTTGTGCAATGTGGTTAAAAATTTATTTGAACTATTTTTTGCCCTAACTCAGAAAATTTCTGGATCCGTCGCTGAATTTGGTCTCATCTTTTTTTTTTTTTTTT